GCTTGAAACAACACACTGAATTTGAAATTCATTTACTGTCGGGTTATTTTTTTTTTCTTTTGTATATATTTTTTTTTTTTTTTTTTGTTTTTTTCCGTCGATCTTGTTTTCCGTGCTGAGCACCAATGCTACCGACGTGCCAGGAAGGCAGCTCCCACACCTGGACCCTACCTATCGACCCATCAACTCATGAACCGGGGACCAACGGCTTTACTTCCCATCCGAAGGAAGGCGTGATCAGAGATGTTATGCCTCAGAACATCCCGGCGGCGCCGACTGGGATTGAACCCAGGCCTGCTGGGGTGAGAGGTAATCACGCTTACCAATACACCACCGGCGCCGTTATCTGCTGTCGGGTTATTCGCGAAAGAGAAATTCGATGAAGATAATCGATCAACAATGATAGGCCCTTTTCTCGTGTTGCGCGAGATAACGTTTCTTTATTTGCTCTATGCTGACAACGAGTAAAATTCCTTCTGAAATTGAACAGATGCGTAAGTAAATTTGCTTTGAAAATTAAAAATATGGCAATGATGCCATTCACAATGATGGTGGGACCTTCCTCGATCACTAATTTGCTATCTCAGAATTATCTTCCACTTTTCCTAAGCCCTTTAGTGATGCATTTATGGGCATTCGTATGGTGCATTAGTAAAATGCACTCAAACATTAATGGGATTATTCCTTGCTTTCATTTCTTTGCATGAGTTCTTTAAAATGTTCCTCATAATATCCCTAATTTTTTTTGATAAAATACTCCATCGAATTTTTGAGGCTATGCTTTAAATTTCCTCGGAAGTCTCTTCTGCGTTTTTATGGAATACTCCTTAGAATTATTTTTGAATTATCCTTAACATTTTCATCGAGTTCTCCACATAATTTTTCTGGAATTCTACACAGAATTTCCTTGGGATTCTCCATAAAACACACTTGGAGTACTAATCATATCATTGAAATTACATTTCTCATCAAAATGCTCTTGGAATTCTAGTCAGGACTTCCATGTCCTTTAGAATTAATTTGATGCTCTTTCCAATCATTTTGGTGTATGTTTTAAAATGTGGGACTATAGCAAATTTTCAAAATCCGACATCTGAATGTTTGTTTTAGAGTCTGGATTCTTTATTCCATGCTTGGATTGTAATTTTCGTTGTCCTGGATTTCGAAAACATTTCTGATTGTTTCGTTTTTTAGAATGAGAGCTGTCTCGCATTGGATATGATTTTCGACATGCCCACAGACCATTACTTCATCTTCTCGGATAGTCTCAGTTCGATTGAGGCTATTCGATTGACGAAACAAGGTTGGCACTCATCTTATTTCATTTCAAAGGTAAAGGAGCAAATGAGTTTGCTGGTCGAAAGATCATATATGATTACCTTTGTATGGGTCCCCTCACATTGCTCAATCCCAGGCAATGAGAAGGCAGACTCTCTCAGGCATTCGTATGGTGCATTAGTAAAATGCATGCCCGTTCCGCACGGCTTTGAAACTTGGCCACATTGGGGGTTTACTTTAAGTTAATGACGCTCGGCAACTTGGCACAGTACTTGTTGACCATTTGAATGTCACTGGTCAATCCGACACTGTTGTTATCATTCTCTGGAAGGGGTCGGTCGATTCCAAGAATTGTTAAAGCATACAGAGGATCACTATCCGGTGGTTGCATGTTCTGACAACATCTAAAATGGAAATATATTCTTTATCGATACGCACCGGTTTCAGCAAAATTCACCAAATGGAACACAGCCTAAGTGTGAGCAGCAGGCGTTGGTTAGTCTTTTGGGTCATTTTGTTGTGTTCCCTATTTTATTTGCCTCTATTTCACTTTCAGATCGCAACGTTTCACCGGTCCGCTCCCCCCAAACTATTATGGATGAAAAAGAGAACCCATGTTTGGTAACCTCTCGCGAGGGCAATTCAAAAGATATGAATAACAAACTAATCTAGAACTGGGCTCAAACATATAACATTTTTTAAGACTGATCATGATTAATATAGTATGAATAATGAGAATTGTATGAAGAAAGACGATCCCAAAAGAAAGTTCCCTAGCAATAAAACTATTACTCTGTGCTAATTTGAGTTATTTCAAAATGGGAATCCACAAACAACATACTCAAAAACTATACCCGATCTCAACAAACTCTACCAAAATCAGAACAGCTGAACTACTCGGTAAGAATTTGGCATTTCTATTTAATTGTATTAGGCTGCTTCATATCGAGCTCTTTTCAATAATTGCAACATGTGAATATTGCAGAACAAGTTTAAAATTGTTCTAGAGCCAAATTGGCCAATTGGAAAGGAAGGTCAAACTATCACCGAACAGTTCAGCCGCTCTGAACCCTTCAAGTGTGAACATTATGCTTTCCCTAAGCGGGCCCTCCGCATCCTATCTCTGTCTTATCTCAAATGCCAAATGCCAATGTTTTGAATGTATCAATATATAAATTGGAAATGACGTTCAATCAAATAAACCCATACCCTACTCACTTGGCCAGGCTTCAGAATCGTCCAGTGGGCAGTGCACTCAACACTTCAAGTTCCCTTTCTTTCAAATTCACCCCATATTTGATATTTTACCCATTTGAGTGTTGATTAATCACAATGAAACATTGTGACAGAGCACGGACTTGAGGTCACTAGTATTAAATAGTCAAGGTCCTATTTAGGATTATATCTGAAAACTCCAAATCTGGCCAACGCCCACCATTTGGAAAGCCTAAAAAATATCCTAAAATAATTGAATATGAGTTTATGATTTAAGTCGCTCAAAATGATTTGTTGAGCGACTATGTTGCGTGGCGTTACAAAGTTTTGCATTTCTCAACTACGCTACTCAACAACTACTCAGCAAAACGTTTTGAGCTTCTCAAATTAGAAACTTTTGATCAATGCTTAAAGGAAATTTAACGCACCTTCCAATCAGCATTCATATTTAGGGATTACTTTTCATTATTTCAATTACAGTTGCAAAACCGTATAAAAAACCTGTAAAAATCGTTGTAACGTCACGTAGAATGTGTCAAATAAACGTGCTAATTTATGAGCTAGAATTCAATTTGGTTGAATCTTCGCCGAACGTAGAATTCATATCCACTTGACTTGGCCCTGAACCAATCGCTTCCAGCCATATGAACGCTAATGAACCAGCCAATGGCTGAAAGTCTCTTTGCTGATAAATAACAATCCATGAACTGTGAAAAGTCAACTTGTCAACTGGCAATGCCTAAAAATCCTTTGCTAAAAGAGTTGTTACTAAGTAAGTTAAAATGTCTTGATTGAATTTATACAACTAACTATCGGTACAGTTAAAACCCGAAATAACCCACTAGCGACAGTCGATTTTACTCTCGCTCTGAACGTTGAACATAGTGTCGGAAGTAGTGCGCTGTATAGCGCATTATTGTGCAATTACAGCACAATTACAGCAGAATAAAATCTATTGTCGTTAGTGAGTTATTTCGGATTTCAGCTGTACCGATAATGGGCCTTATTACGGGTGTCACTACACGGTGATAAGCAAGTGATATTCGTACAAATCAAATGGGAATCACTTCACCATGACGACAAGTGACAAGTTTTCAATAGCCCCAATATCTACATTACAAGGATTGTCATCGATAACAAACATCGGGATGGTATCAAACTTCAATTATTTGAATTTTCAATTCCAGTAAACAACTATCCAATACGTACTGTGACTGATTCACTGTTTCACACCGATTCCCACAGGCGGCGACACTTATCACTGTTATAACATCATCAACTGTGCGACGTATACCACATTATTCCTTCTTTCGTATGTACACGGCCGATTAAATCATTTCACATTTGAGTTTCGTTCACTCAAATTCGCAAAAACGAAGGTTACTCATAGACTGAGTAAAATTTTTCTAGAATTTCCTCATGTTTGAGGAGATTTTTGAAGAAACACGAGGAAAATTGGTTACCTACACGGTGAATAATATCGACTGAAATTTGAGTTTAGTTTACTCATAATCGCCAAAAGTGCAAGAACGCAACGATGAGTAATTTGCCTTAAGTTTTTTTTTTCTGTGCACGCTATGTTGAGGCTACTCAGTGACTGGGTGGATCGCACTCATTTTTGCATGCTGTATGGAGTTGTCAAAAAATGAGTAAACTGGTTTTGCTCCGATGAGTTGGATCTACCCAGATTCTGGGTAAATGGGTCTGATATCATTTTTCTCTAAGTTCAAAATGGCGAACTTTGAAGTTGTGAACAGGCGGTTTTTGCGCAGTGAGTTTAAAATTAGTTTTCAGAAGTGAAGCAGTTACGTAATGACCTGGATGGCCAAAACTATCAGCAGCTATTTGGTAAGGTGTACAACTCTAACAGTTCCTTGGTATCAATAAATACAGAATTATCATTTTCATAATGTTTTTTTAATATTCTTCCTGGACGAAACAACTCATTTATGACGCATTCCCTCATTCGTTTCTTCCGAAATGGGTAACGGTTACTCAGTTGACAAATGTCATAATCTGAGTAACCGTTACCCAGTTTCCTCCATAGGCACGTTTACTCAAATTTGAGTAAAAGCTTGATTACTCATTTTTGAGTAACTTCCCTTTTGGCTGGACTGAGTGATTTTCGACTCAAAAATGAGTAGCCTCAAAATAGCGTGTGGAAAACCTCAAAAACATTGACGAAAATTTTACTCAGTCTAGGAGTAGTACCAATAGACTGAGTGAATCCAATCTTTATTTTTCTCGTGTTCGGGAATTTGTTACTGGAAAAACCTGGAAAACATGAAGCAAATTTACTCATTGCTGTGTTTCTACACTTTATGATTCATGACGTTTTACGTTTTTGCGAATTTGAGTGAAAATCCAATCATTTTTGAGCTGATCTCATCGACCGTACACACAGCGGGTAGTTGTCCTCGCTCTACCCTTTTCGAACGCCGACAACTGCGCATAGCTTCGTTGACACCAGATGGATTCAGCAGCCACATTCGAATACCATCCTAGATCTAGATCCGAATGTGAAACGTGGACATGAAATCCGGCGCACGGGTAATCACGTGCTCGAATTCCAGGTACGACAGCTTTCCGTCGCCGTCAACGTCCGCTTCTTCGATGACCTTTTCCACGATTTGCTGGTGCTCCTCGAGGGTCAGCTCGTTCCGTGTGAGGGCGGTGATGACGTTCAGTAGGTCCGATTGGCCGATGAAACCGTCCTGGTCGTAGTCTGTAATGAAAGGGCCCATAAGTGGGGAATAGCTTGCAGCTTTTGTTGTATAATGTACCGTAAACCGCTATAATTCTGCACAGTTTAGAAAAACCTAATTTTAACTAATTTATGAAAAAGTTTTGAAGCTACTACCGATAAACTATTTCTACCAAAAAACAGTGTTGCTGAAGTAGTATACACACTCGAAGATAAATTAAATGAAAAAAGCTTAAAAAGTATGCAGATTCCCGCTTCACCTTATTGAGTCCGAGCCATGATTACTTCGGCAGTAGTCATGCATGATTAAATTCAAAATAATCTTTCCAGTATTAAATTTCATTATTTTTTTAATATTAATGTGTAATCAAAACAGATTAAATTCAATCAAAAATTATTAAAAAAGAATCAAAAATAATTTAAATTTATTCAAAAAATATAATTTTCAATCTAATCAACCATGATTAAACTGGGTTTAATATCAGACGATTAGTTTTTAATCATTCGATATGATTAAACTGAGTTGAATGTCAAATTGATTAAATTTCAAGCAAAATGGGGATAGTTTAATTTATCAGTGCAGGGTAACGGGAGGACTGGTTATAGGGTGACTGGATGCGAGACTATAGGGTAACGGGATATGCTATCTGTCTATGTTCTTTTCTAAACACATAGTTCGTTTTTTTAATTGATGTTATTTAGAGTTCATTATAGGGTGCAGCACTGTTTCGGCATATGAGACGCATTTCCGTCATGGACATTAAAAATAATTAATACAAACAGCTTATATTCAAAATTCTTACATCAAATGCTTTGCTAAAGATTTACATTGCGAACACTGTAAAATAACTTGCAGGTAAACATCTGTCAGACGTTTGATTTAAAGGGGTTGTGCTGAAGTGCACACGGGAAAAAATCCGATTCCTATTTCAAAAAACTTGCCACCCCATGAAATCATAGCAATGCGGAATCGGAATCATGACCGCTTCAAGCGTTACCTAGAAAACCGTGTACACCGCACTACATAGGTATCTCTTATATGCCTTTTGCCTACTGATAGTCTACTGGTTAAAATATGGGTTTGATGATCGTTAGGTTCTTGGTTCGAATCCAGTCTGTTGCTTTATTTTTTATGTTGTGGTTTAAAAACTGATTTTAACCATGAATTTAGTTCATGAGTGTTTAACTCGGATAATTCATGATTTCGGGAATCTTGGGTGCGTTACGCAAACATAGCTCATGATATCATGAATATTATTCATGGTGTATTTTCATAACATGAAAATACGCTATGTTCATGAAGTCATGAGAGATTTTTCTCATTTCGGATTTTTGATTTGTTCCCGTGCAGTGAGGTATGCTGAAATACGGTCACACCCTACTGCTTATCCGCCTGAACATTGATCACTGAACAGCTTTAGTTTAATCTCATGACACAGCGGCGCCGGTGGTGTAGTGATAAGCGTGATTACCTCTCACCCCAGCAGGCCTGGCTTCCATCCCAGTCGGCGCCACCGGGATGTTCTGAGGCATAACACATCTCTGATCACGCCTTCTTTCGAAAAGGAAGTAAAGCCGTTGGTCCCCGGTTCATGAGTTGATGGGTCGATAGGTAAGGAAATCAGTCATGATTATTCAGAGTAAATTTTGGGAAATGTTCTTCTCAAACATTAATGGGATTATTCCTTGCTTTCATTTCTTTGCATGAGTTCTTTAAAATGTTCCTCATAATAACCCTAAATTTTTTGATAAAATACTCCATCGAATTTTTGAGGCTATGCTTTAAATTTTCTTGGAAGTCTCTTCTGCGTTTTTATGGAATACTCCTTAGAATTATTTTTGAATTATCCGTAACAATTTCATCGAGTTCTCCACATAATTTTTCTGGAATTCTACACAGAACTTCCTTGGGATTCTCCATAAAACACACTTGGAGTAATGATTAGTACATTGAAATTACATTTCTCATCAAAATGCTCTTGGAATTCTAGTCAGGACTTCCATAGAACTCATATCCTTTAGAATTAATTTGATGCTCTTTCCAATCATTTTGGTGTATGTTTTAAAATGTGGGACCATTGCCAATTTTCAAAATACGACATCTGAATGTTTGCTTTAGAGTCTGGATTCTTTATTCCATGCTTGGATTGTAATTTTCGTTGTCCTTGATTTCGAAAACATTTCTGATTGTTTCGTTTTTTAGAATGAGAGCTGTCTCGCATTGGGGATGATTTTCGACATGCCCACAGACCATTACTTCATCTTCTCGGATAGTCTCAGTTCGATTGAGGCTATTCGATTGACGAAACAAGGTTGGCACTCATCTTATTTCATTTCAAAGGTAAAGGAGCAGATGAGTTTGCTGGTCGAAAGATCATATATGATTACCTTTGTATGGGTCCCCTCCCATTGCTCAATCCCAGGCAATGAGAAGGCAGACTCTCTCGCAAAGGTGGGCGCACAACAAGGCGAGATTTATGATAGAAGAATTTCACATGATGAATTTTCCCATTAGTACGCTAGAGTTCCCTTCTAAGTTGGCAAAACAATTGGACAAGTAATTCTCTTGGGCGGTGGTTTCATTCCATTACTCCAAATGTTTCTCCGAGAGCTTGGTTCAAAGGTCTGGATGTAAGTCGGGGATTCATTCGAGTGATGTCAAGACTTATGTCCAACCACTACTCGCTAGACGCACATCTCTATAGAATAAACCTCGTTGACAGCAATATATGTAGATGCATAACCGGTTATGATGACATCGATCACGCAGTTTGGTATTGCCCGGGTAATGACGCCTCCAAAGCACGACTGTTGGATACCCTAGTGGCCCGAGGTGGACAACCCTTCCGTGAAGTAAGAGAAGTATTAGGAACCCGTGATCTTCCCTACATGCAGGCGATCTACGAATTCCTTTGTTTGTCTGGTGTTAGCGTTTGATGTGACCATCCCCTCCTTTCCGAACAATTTCCAGCCATTGTGTCCCAGTCTTATTATCCTTCTGTTTCTGTGCTATTTGCCTCTGCCCAGCCAGGATTTGGTCAACCGTTCGAGAGTATTATCTGAATGAGGCTTCAGAAACCTGTTTCCTACCTAGCTCCTTCCAATCGAAATTGTTACCCATTAACCTCGAGTCCGCCACGAGTAGTTGGTACCTAATACTAACCTAGATTTACTGCTGTTTAAAATGTAAATTAAAAAAAATACGGATCTTCGGCTCCGCAAAGTGTCACACACGACTGAGCCTAGTGAATAAACGAACTAGTTAAAAAAGAATGTGAGCCAATGAAAGATCAAATTTAATTTATTTTTTAAGTTCCACAGTCTTCAAGTTTTTTCTTAGAAGATCAAAATTTTTAAATAATTCCATAATCAAATTTTCCACTGTCCAAAATTTTGCCGCATAGGCCGTAAGGACCAACACCGAAGATAATATACCGTTCATATGCTTGGAAAACATTCCAAGAAAGTCTTGGAAAGCAAAATTGAATTCTAAAGGCCGGCGCACAATGCATACGTTTTCGGGTTTTTTGACAGATAATGTATGGGCTAACTGTCAAAAAACCTGAAAACGTATTCATTGTGCGCCGGCCTTAAGATATATAAACAAACGTTTCAGGACTTGCATGATTTACTGCAAACCAAGGGGCAAGACAGCTCCTAATCATGAGCAATTTTAAAGTTGCTTTTGAGGCACCTCGAGTAACTCATATTGCTCAGTCATTTGCTTTCTCACTTTTCGCATCACAGCAACATTTGAAGGTGCACCTTCAAGCGAAGCCGAAAAGCTGCTGTCATACCACTATGGGGAGAAGGGTGGCCATTAATATAAAAATTTACTATTTTTAATTTCACATATTGATATGCCAATTGAGAGTACATACTCTAGTTAAGACAAGCTGAAAATATTTCAACATAATATTGTGGCTAACGGAAGATACATGCTACCAAAGTTGAAAAAAGCGGAAAATCATAGAAATCAAGCGTATTTTTCATCTTATGTTTCCCATATGCTATACAGTAATGTAAAAATATTGAAACATACCATTTTGAAGCTTGAAATCTAAGCTTTCCATTGGCGTTATCAACATTACAAATCGATCAAATGTTTGAATAGTCACATGAAAAAATACCAAAAAATTACGATTTTTCAAGACTAAATCATGTCGCAATAAAAAAGTCCACCTCGGTTCGCTCAACTGTTCATAAGAGAATAAAGTACAATCCTAGTGCTAACTTTCAGCAAAGGTTGCATCTGCACTTACTTGCTCTATCTCGAGAAAGCACCAATTGAAAATTTTATGTTTTCATTCATCAAACACCGGATGGATTACAAATAAGTCGATTATGTACTCTAGCGCTTTTTTTATGTAAGGGTACATCATGATAATCATCAGTTCAACGTTTCATCTTTTGGCCAAAATGTAGTGCTCAGAAAGTTTGTTTACCTCCCTGGCAAAGAAATTGCCGAAGGTGAAATTTTTCCTACTTAAGATTATTTATTTTACCTCAAATAGGTTGTTTTATTTTGGTGTGTTTGTTTTGGTTTTGTTTTACTCGCCTTATCCACCATCACCACTGTCTACAAACTGTCAACAAGTGCAGCTGAACGAACATTACAGAATTCTGTTTGAAAAGTAGGTTAAAGTGAATGTATTTAATATTGTGAAAATGGCATTGAAATATATGGACATCGTTGGATCGTATGATTTTAAGCAACGAATTGTTGACAAAGTTACGACGACATTCGAAGAAATTTGTCAAACTTATGAAATAATTGAGTCAAAAAAAAAATTCTACGGTGTAAAATAAGAAACGTTTACACTAAATTCGTTAAAAAGTGGAGAAGTGCAAGCAGACAGAAAGAAAAGTTCGATCGGGATAATAAAGTGTGGCTCAATACATCGTTTGGTATCGACGAATTCATACAAAAGGATGGCATCGAAGATTCTGCCTCGTCCAGTAAACGTGGAAGACCTGAGAAAGAGTTTTCAGAACTTAGCGATAGAAGTAAACGTCGTCTA